ATATGTGATTATCTAAATTTGAAATAAACAAATCAGACAAACCAAAATTTTAAGTAGTCATGGATGGTTTCATAAATTTTTATTAATTCTGGTGATGTAAATAATATTGAATTTATTGAACAAAACTATATTATTGATATAACCAGACTACATGATAGAAAAACTTTACTTCAAAACACTTCAAAATTTATAAGTAAACTACCCATACTAATTAAATTTATATAATTATAGTCTTATTTTAAACAATTATTGTTTCAAGAAAATAATGAAACTTGCAAAAACTAAAGAAATTAGCTTCAAACAATGTTGATATTTTGCAATACCAAGCAAAGCGATTGGTGTAGGTGATTTGTATGCACCAAAACCTTTTAAAGTTCTTCAAAACTATGGAGAAAATATGAAATTGTTGAACTTATATACAGGGGGGAAATCCAAGTTTTAATTTACCATTAATTTGTTCGTTATATGCCTTCATAAGATGATCCATTTTGAGTTCCTTGATTTTGCAATTTTCGCTTGTACCCATATTTGCATGGTATGTATACAAGTGATATGGTTGATAATTAAGCTAGCGGTAGTAAAGTTGTACTAACTTAATCCATCTTGTATTCAAGAGTCTGAATGTTTTTTGAGTTACATTAAGAAAATAGAACCCCTGAATCATTTTAAAAGGATATTGTTCGATCCCAAGTTTATTACCTATGAGACAATTTCTAAATAAACTATAATCTTATCTTTCAACAATATAAATGCCCGCGCATCATGCGGGCCACCTTCCTAGTTGGTAAAGAGTGATAATGTCACTCACATGTCATCCTCACCTCCATGTCCAGTGTAACATCTATTGTTTCCTTTTATGTTTGATTTGCGAGCTAATTTGCCAACCAGGATGTCACATAGTGAAAACATTGACAATCACCCTTGTTTTAAGCCTAGGGGTGATACTCATCCTCCCTACCAACCATGCGCAGATATAACATCCTGAAAATTGTTATCAGGTAAAAATACAAGGAGAGGTGCTGATATGACCCCGGTAGAGCTGATGTCCCGATCTTCACGGCGTAGGATTACGAACCGATAATTAGCCTTAAAGAGACCAAGATAACTAACTGCAAGCAGCCAAGATAACAGTGCAACCTGACGATCGTACTCGAAGCCAACCACTGTCTCTGTTACGGCAACCTGAATCGAGGGTTCGCCCAACCACACTCTAAGTTTACCGACCAACACAACCTGGACTCAATCAAAGAAATTCCTCGAAGGGACCAGAAGCACCAATTGGGGGGTGTCGAACGTCGCTTCTGTAATCTCACAAGGAAATTACAAGAGCAAAGGGATAGAGATCTCTCTGTGAATTTGCTAGCACACAGCTAAACAAAAGGGGTTCATATTCTCATTATCAAAAGTCTTTTTAATGATAAAACATAGGGGATATTTATACTAGGAACAACCCTCCTAGATGGTAATGAAAAGTCTTCGGAGTTTACTGGACATAGGCTAGCTCAAAGGTCATAATAAGTGAATTTCCGAGAAGACTCGCGTGTCTGTTTAGCTTCTGAGCAGTCTTCAATGATTTGTCCATAACTCCTTATTGGGAAGTCGAAATGATGAGCCGTTTGTTGGTGATGAAACTAGACTTGATTATCTTTCTAACCATATATATTAAGCATGGAGAAAATTGACTGGTTGGGTCGCACAAGCCTTGGAAGATGAGTCTTTTACAGCGTAAACCATCTTCTTGTTGGCGTAGACAGCTACTGGTTGGGCATGGGCTGGTTCCTCCTCGACGTAACCCTTATCGCCCTCAACGTAACCCATCCTTCTTGGCGTAGTGATGATGTCCTCGGGCGTAAACCTGAGCAATACAAATGTAGAGCATTTAGGTAGTATAAAATTCTCACTAAAATTTGGATTAAGTTGAGCAAAGAGCGAGTTCACCTCTTGTTGTATTTTCCTAGTATGGCTGCACGTAATTGGACCATAATATGCTTGATCATTCTTGGTGAGACGTAATCCATCAACTTGGTTTACGTCATCTTCATTTTCTCCATGTGACGTATGACGTAAACCATCACCCTTGTTTACTTCAAGTGTAGCTGGGATGTGCTCATCATCATGTGACAGGGGTTGGGGCACATCAGGTGCACCATGCGCCTGGAAGGTCAGATGGAGATGGCCCGTGCATGTGTGGGCCTGCATTGTTTTATTTTCGGCCTAGTCAAGTAATCGATCCACCCTGATGATCACATATGTCTGTTCTCCTATTATCAGGGAAATAAATAAAAACAAAAAATAATTAACAGGGAAGACAATAGTGTGGCATAGCTAAATTTTAAAAACTTACTATACTATCACAATGTACCCATGATTTTCAGTGATATAATTTTAGACAACCAATCTTTCGAGAACTTTTTTCAACTATCAATGTTTTAACATCTTCACACAATAGTTCTTTTCACATAAACAAAATCACTTCATTATAAATGCTCAGCCTATGATTGCGGACTGTACAATGTAATTTTTTTATACTCCAAAGGCTTCAGGTACAACAAAGTGCTGCTTTTTTATAATCTCTTATATTGTTCAGATTTCAGGAATTATGAAAGTATTTTACATTGAGTATAAAAAGACCAGAATGTGTTAAGATAACGACCGCGCTGCAACTAAAGATGTCAATTCAAATTATTCCTGACATGAATGAATTATTTGGAATTAGGTCCACAGTCTTGGAGCACCAGTATCTTCGATTTTTCAGTGAAGGCTTGCTTCTTCACTGGTAATTAAAATGGTGCACTGCATCTTATAAAAGTATCACTCTAGGAAGCTTACTATTTGTATGTTCTTACTAGAAAAAATACTCATGCGTTACAACGAGTTAACAAAAAATTATAACAAATATAAAAATATTAGATAATGATTAGGGTTTAGTTTACCATGATATGAGAATTTAAGAAAATATATTCCTAAAAAATAAAGAAAGTTAAAAAAAGGAAAAAAAAAGGCACTTTGTACCCGGCCGATAGAGAAACCGATAGAGGAAGAACGATTTTCATTTACACAAATATTGAAATGATGACGTATTATCATAATTAGCAATTAAGCTCTATAAATTCCAAGAAAATTTTAAAGAGAGTAATTAATACGAAGAATTTAATAAAAATTAAATCCAACCATATCATTTTATTTCTCACACTTTCTTTACTTATAAAATAATTTAATTATATACCTACCTACTTAGAAAATACCCAAATATTCCAAAAAAATGTATTTCAATTAATTAGAATTTAATATGTTTTAATTCAGTTTTCTTGTTTTTTCTCTCCGTTGTAACACACTGGCTTTTTTCTAGTATATACAAATGTTTCTTCCTGTCATACTTTCAAGCTCTAAATATATGAAGGATAAAAGTAAACAACTTCTATTTAGAGTGAACAAATCTACTACTACTTAAAAAATAAGAGGTGCTTCCATCGTCCGTCAAAAAAACCGGGTGAAAAAAAACCGGAACGAATCCGATTCATCAACGCGGTAAAAGAATATGTCCGATTCCACAAAAATAGGAAACAAACTCCCATCTGTTTTCGTTTGAGCTGATTAGGACTTTGTTTCTGTTTGGGCGAATAGGACTTGGTTTGAATTATACCAAGTCCTATTCGGTTAGCATCACCAGGAGAACAAGTGCATATATACATACATAGTATAAAAAATCATAGCACATAACAAAGAATCACATGCAGCCTTATAGCACTTTGCAAAAAAACAAAAAATTAGATCGAAGGGGGTCGCCGCCAGCACACATATATCCAAATAAAAACAAAAAATTAGATCGAAGGGGGTCGCCGCCGCTGCCGCCGTCGCCGTCGCCGTCGTTGCCGAACCGCCGCCGTCGCCGTCGCTGTGGATCCGGTGGAGGGGAGAGCACCGCCGCCGCCGCCTCCCCTCCCGCTAGATCCGCCGGCGGCGGCGGCAGAGGGCACTCTCCGGTGGTGGGGGAGAGCGCCGCCGCCACCGTCGGTGGTGGGGGAGGACTCCACCGCCGCCGCCGCTCGCGGGAGGAGGGGCGCCGTCGCCGCCGCTCGCGGGGCGCCTCCCCACCCGCTAGATCCGCCGCCGGTGGTGGGGGAGGGTGCTGCCGCCGCCGCTCGCGGGAGGAGGGGCACCGTCGCCGTCGCCGCCGCTCGCGGGGCGCCTCCCCTCCCGCTAGATCCGCCGCCGGTGGTGGGGGAGGATGCCGCCGACGCCGCCGTGGGTGGTGGGGGTGCCGCCGCCGCCGCCATCGGTGGTGGGGGAGGGGCGCCGTCGTCGCCGCCGCCGCTCGGGGGCGCGGAGGAGAGGGCGGCGAAGTGAGATGGGAGGGGGGGAAATGGGCTAGGGTTCCGCGGCTGAGAGGGAGTGGGTTTTGTTTCCCCACTATTGACGCTCGGTCGTCCGATCAAAACCCTAGAGATCGGACGGCCGGTGTCGTCCGGGCCGAAATCGGCGCAAGAGGGATCGAGAGTGAGGCCTCTTTTCCGGCCCAAGCCCAGGTTGCGGCCTGGGGGAGGAAAAGTGCGCCCGCGCATGCGCAAAAGGCCGTGGGCCGACCGGCATAGGTCGGAAATAAGTCTATTGTTGGTCCCTCGAGCCGAAAAAAAGAGAATAAGTACATTTTTAGTGCTCATTTTTTCAGAAGCATTACAATTATAGTTCTATTGAATATGTTTATTTCGAAGCAAACCTATAAGAAAGTATTTTCTTTCTTTTTCCAATTAAATAATTGTTAAATGATGTTTGTATTAATAAAATTAGCAATTAAGCTCTGAAAATTCCAATAAAATTCCAAAGAGCGTAACTAATTATGGAGAATTTAATAAAATTAAATTTAACCATGTCATTTTATTTAACCATGGAGAATGGAGAATTTTACTTGTAAATTTATTTAATTATACACATACCTACTTAAAAATACCAAATATTTCAGCGAATTTGTATTTTAATTAATTGCATATTTTTCTGATCTGTAAACTTCCCGGTGCAACGCACGGGCACTTTTGCTAAACCAAACAACACTTTTGGTCAATATACACACTCTGTAATCACCCGGTGCAACGCACGGGCACTTTTGCTAGTCAAATATAATTACATGATATGTATATATTGACAAGGTTGTATTAATCCCAAGATTCACAATTCACCGTTTGTGGGTTCGAGGTGATCACTGCTTCCTTCCTGCAAAGAATCGCCGGCGATGGCGATGGTGGCGGCAGCATCACCGTTCCCGTTCGAATCCACGCCACCGATGGCCGCGACGGCGACTTCCTCCTCCTCCTCCTCCTCCTCCTCCTCCTCCTCCTCCTCTTCTTCCTCAACCACCTCGGTGACCACCGGCACCGGCGCGTCGGTCAGTCGACGGCCGCCGCCATTGCCCTCGGTGTAGAGCTTGAGCAGGTTGGCCAGGTCCGGCGAGGAGGAGAACACCGACCCCGGCAAGAAGTCCACCAGCGACTGGTAGTTGTTGCCGCCGCCGCCGTCGCCGGCCGCGTCGTGGTCCGTGGCGGCGGCGGCGGTGGCGGCGGCCTCGTAGTCGTAGAGATGGGCCTTGACCCGGAACGCGTCGAGCTGGCGCTGCAGCGCGTGCTTCTCCGTCTCGGCCTCGTGGACGAGCTGCATGGCGAGGCGCACCGCCTCCCGGTCGAACTCCCCCTGCTCCTCCAGCTGCCGCTGGTACTCCGCCGCCTCCGCGCACGCGCGCCGCTCGCCGTCGAGCTCCGCGCGAACGGCGTCCAGCTCCCTCCGCTGCGCCCGGAGCGCCGCCGCGAGCCTGCCCACGGTCAGCGCGCCGTCGCCGTCGCGCCGCAGCTCGGCCGGCAGGTCGTCGAACACCTCGTGGGCATTGCCGTGTCCGTCCTCGTCCTGCGGGGCGCGCGCCGCAATGGGCGCGAGCTCGAAGAGGGAGACGTAAGGGCCGTCGCCGTAGCCTTCTTCGCCGGCGGTGGAGCGCTGGTCGCCGCCGGCGTGGTCCTGCTCGCAGATCTCGCTGCCGATGGAGACGACGCGGTGACCCTCCATACCTGCGAACACATGTCCATCATCAACAAACCAATCTTTCTTGATGACAGTAGTTCAAGGGAATTAACAACAGTAATTTTGTAGATTTTCTTGATTATAAATTTGTAATGACCAATTTTGCTTAAACTCATGGATCAGTTTCTTGGTGAGAGATCTCGCCGCGTCTCTAGACATTCCAGTCATGTGATTCTTTTAACCAGACTAAAATTCCGCACACCTTCAAATTTGGTCGAATTTTGATAGTAAAACGTAACTGCTCCAAGAGAATAACGTAATAAACTCTCTAATAACTCGAATGCCATGATAAGTGTTGGTATCAGTTTGATAATCTTTACTACTACTCCCTCCGTCCTAAAATATAAATATTTTTTAATAATATTTGAGACGCTACTTTGACCAACAATATTTTTAAAAGTAAAATGTTTTAAATAAAAATAATTATATATTATGATAGTTTGTTTAATGATAAATCTAATAACATCAATTTTACGTGATTTTTTTTCTATTAATAGTCAAAGTTAAAAATGCTTGACTTGACACTACGCTAAAAATAATTATATTTTAGGATGGATGGAGTAGAATTTAAGCCCATTCAGAACCATTCAGAACACTGATCTGTTCACGATACCTATGGGAGATTTAAAAGTTCACATTTCATGTGAAATTCCTACATTCAAAACGAACACGCCTTTTAGCGTGTAATTACAGAAAGTTCCAGATATTGAAGTTGACAGATGCAAATGTTGTGTTCACTTCATTCTTACTCCCTTCTACACCCTCTTTTCCATAATAATATAAGGTACAACCATTCTTAACCTGAAGGAAAAAAACAATTATTATTATCTACTATTTTGGATCACCCAATAAAACTAGAAATCTTGAGAGTAGAGGATTTAAAATAATACAAATAATTTAGTGGAGAAGATGTGTTAATTAATTACATGTATGTATACACGCCTTATATTATGAAATATCTAGAAAAAAACTAGTTGTGTCTTATATTATAAATTGGAGGGAATAGTAATTAATATCTCTGTTGACATTTTGGATATCAACATAATCTACTGTGCACACACGTTTCATTATTGAGAAATTTTACGGTACTTTAAAAAATTAAAAAGTACCTTTGAAGTTAACTACTCCCTCCGTCCCAAAATATAGCAACTTTTGCTTACATGTGATATATCCTATTACTACGAATCTGGACAGAATTGCTATACAAATATTAAACATAAATATATAAAAGTGTGTTCCATGAAAAATGTACTAATATCATTTTCAAATCTAAAATCCTAGCGCGTCTATTAATGTTGAAGATTTTGATATCTAACTACACCATCTATTTAAAAATGTGGCAATGCATTTTTATGTGGTTGATCATTGAATCACTTTCAGCCTTTCAGGATCAGTCTACTATGAAATGTTTGTTTTCCAAGGCCCCAACTTTTTATCCCTAAAAATTCCTACCAATGTCATGTTGTGAAAGCTCAACTAGTAAAGGTTGCACCAACCAAAAGATGAAATGATACCAATGCCATTCTACAAAGTGACCAACCAATCAAACCTACTACTAGCAAAGCTTCACTCTAATTCTTGGTTATTGCATCAGCAATGACCTGAACCTGACCGAATTCAACATTTTTTTCTCCAAAGCGACACGCATAACACGATTGTTTTGCAATTTCACACCAGTAGTAGTTTCGAATTGGAAAATTGAAGGATATTCATAGATTGATTACCTCCAGGTTTGTCTGCAATTTCAACCTCTGCTGCATCTCTCTTCTCTTCTCCATCAGAAGCAGAGATCATCTTCTGCTGATCCGGCTGCTGCTGCTGCTTCTTCTTCTCCGGCTCCGAGGCGGCCATGGCGGCGACGTGGGCGTCGCAGAGGAGTCGTCGGAACGCCGCGCGTTCTTGGCCGCGCGCGTCGTCGGCGTCGGCCGCGGCGGGGGCGGAGCAGAGAAGCCGGTGGACGCCGGCGCAGAGTAGGCACAGCGGCGGGCCGAGGCGGAGCCACGACGCCGCGGCGGCGATGAGGCAGAAGGCGGCGCCGTTGGCGAGCAGCAGCGACGACAGCGCCCACTGCAGCGCCGCGCGCGCCACCACGGCGATGAGCTCCCGCACCATGTGGCCGGAGCTCAGCTCAGCTCAGGATCAAGCGAAATTCAGCAGAAAGAAAGGCTGGAAATTTGCCAGGATTTCGTAGGATTTAATCAAGAAAACGGAGAGGAGATGGAATTAAGGATCGAGGAGGAGCATGAGGAATTTGGGGGTAGGTGGGTGGAGGAGGTGATCATTGGGATGATCAAGTGTCAAACATTGCAAATGGAGCACCACTAAACAGCACAAGAAGAAGAAGAGAAAAAAAAAAGAATGAAATGAATAGTGTGTATGATAGAATTGGTTGGGCCAGCCACTTTTGAGAAAGGAGAAAGAGTAGGTGACGTCATGGGCCAGGGTTGTACTACTAACTCTACTCAAAGTTTTTTATTTTTGTTTTTTCTTCTGTTTATTATTTTTTTTTTTGGAAATTTGTAATTTAAGGTGATGATGACCCAGTTCTGGGTGGATGGTGGCAGTTTTGGAGAAGGGCGGTAGGCGGGTCGAAGGGAGCCCTAGGCTTGTCTCCTAAATTTCTATAAGATTCATTCAAATTTTACTGAAACTTTTGAAGATATAAGGTCTCTAAACAGCTTGAGCCATATTCTCAGTGGTTTTCTGGTTCCGCTCTGGCTACGAGCATATGATGATTCAAGAACACAAGTAGTTGAAACTTCGGAGACAATAAAACTATACATGGTATTGGTAATTTGGTATGTTGCAGTACTACGTAGGATCCATGTCCTCGCCAGAGACAACTAAAGGATGGCAGCATTCTATTTTGCCTTTTAGACAACGACTAGAAAGTATCTAGCCCCCTATGTTTGTGTTATACTATGCGGTTAGACACTACTCCATTCTTTTGGTGTGAATAATGCCCTAAATATAAATAGCTGAATTACGTCAATTTTCACTAAAAAGAATGCTAGTAACATATGGATTTGATATTAGTGTGATGCCTAAAAAGGCTTTTATAATATTATACATCAGCTAACTTTTCCAGGATAGAATAGGCATGAAGTCACTGTGGATGATGACGTGGCTTATTCTTTATGGTAAAAAGGTGAACAATTACATAGGAGTCGTGCCGTTCCAAAGTTTCTGACTCGTTACTGACGGATAAGTTCACTCAAGCTTAGCTGGTTTTTGTGCGAAGGGGATATTATTGATTGTCTGATTGATGTTTGTGCAAACGACGATGACACATGGACTCATCAAGGGCCACAATATATATGCGTGATGCAGGTTTTGTTAAGGCTGACGATTTCGATTATACAGGGTTAATGCTCTTCCGATGAACTGGATAAACTTGTGACCTTTTTTAGTAGATGGAGCCAAAATGCATGCGTGCACCTTGTAGAAAGTGGCTACTGACTACTCCTAGGTGGCGCCCTCTCAAGTAGTAGTGCTAACGTAATGCAGAGGTTTAATTAATTTCGGCAACAATCATGAAACAGAGCACCTAGTTCCACTAACATTTATTAAGAACTGGGTAATTCTAACTTATATAATTCGTAGTTTCAAGAGCATAAAAATTAGGGTAAAATTAAGGCTAAGAAAAATGAATACGGCCAACCCCCACCTGCCCATGTTGTTCAACTAGACTTTTGTCGTCTTCATTTCAGTTCTCGCCTGGTACTTTCTCCGTCCCATAAAAATCAACCTAGTATCGGATATAACACATTCTATTACTATGAATCTGAACATATGTATGTCTGGATTCATAGTACTAGAATATGTCACATCTAATTCTAAATTTCTTTTTTTTTTTGCCGAAGAGAGTACCTCTGTCCCAAAAGAAAAAAACAAATCTAGAATTAGATGTGACACATTTCTAGTACAATGAATTTGGATAGTACTACGATGTGACACGATGTGTTATATCTAGTACTAGGTTGGTTTTTTATGGGAGGAAGTATGGTAGATCGAAGGTCTACTCTCTTCATTGGATTTCATTGGATGGTGTCAGAAGTTGCTAATTGTTGGGGGTAGTACGAATGTACGATGCTAGGGAATGGTCACACATTATGGTCTCACTTGTAGGGGTGCTTGTAACTGCTATTCGTGTGTACAAATTGGCATGTTAGTGGTTTTGGCTGATGACCATTGTGGGAAATCGAAGTTGCTGGTCGGTCACTTTGGGACTGGCTTGGCAAATGAAACTTTTCTTATAAATTCGGAGTTGCTGTGTTGCTGGAGGTAACAAGCTCGACAACAATGTCACGTCTTTTACGAAGTCTGCCGTAATGCTTATGTTGTAAGCTTGGCAACGAGGTCTTTCGGCGTTTCGGCTTTGTCGTTATTAGTTGTATCGTGAGCTAATGTAGGGATGTTCGTGTGCGCGCTACGTATAGATGGCCAAAAGGCCCGAGGCCCGACGGCCTGGCCCAAGCACAGCACGACCCGTCAGGGGTCGGGCCCGGGCCGGCCCGGCCCGACCACCGGGCCATGCCTGGGCCTCTCCACCGGCACGTTGGGCCGGGCCGGCATGGCACGATGGGCCGCAGGCTAGGCCCGACACATAAACAATAGGGAGTAAAAATAGACATATTATATGCCACGATCGAAAGAATAGGGACGTAAAATAGACTTATTTAGCTATATATATGTCAGCCCAAAGAGGAGGGATGGGAAATAGACTTATTTTCACTATATATATGTCACAGCCCAAAGAGGAGGGATGGAAAATAGACTTATTTTCGCTATATATATATATGTCGCAGCCTATAGAGGAGGGACGGAAAATAGACTTATTTAAAAAAGCACGATGGGCCACCCGCGCCTTCGGACCAGGCCAGCACGGCACGGCCCAACGGCTGGTGGGCCATGCCTGGGCGGGAGGCGCAGCCCATGGTGCCGATCGGGCCGTGCCGGCCCGATGGCTGGTGGGCCGTGCCTGGGCCGGGCGGGCCTTTTGGCCATCTATAGCTCTACATGCTTGTCTAGCTAGCCACATGTTCAAGGAGGTTCCCCTCGTCGAGGAGTTGTTTTTCATTTCGTATAACATATGTCCCTTTTTTTCAATCCTGCTTACTAAAATATAGATATTGAGGTCATCATAAGATGAGTTGTTATGCTTGCCTCATTTGGTTCGACGCGGAAGGTTCCTTTGCCAAATTTAATATGAGGAAGTGAGCTCGGTGTAACATCGTGTCACTGAGAAAGAAAATATGTTTGAGGCCATCTAATCAATACATACAGCAAGTCATATAACATGTGTGAAAAGTGAAAAAAAAATGCAAGCAGCAGCAATTGGAGAGGAATCTCCAATCAAGGTGAATTAAAAGGAAGGTATATTTGCAACAAATCGTCTTATAAGAGAAAATCTCAAACTCAAGGACTAACATTCGGTGGGGTTTTTGTAATTTTCCCAACTTCAAATTCCAGCCCATTTCGAATTCGATCGATCCACAGGAGTTTCAATCCACTACCAGTCTCTGACCGACGTGTTTTGTGCATGCGTGCATGCAGTGAGAGCAACTGATGAATGAAGCATGCGAGCAGCTGATCCGCCATTGCCGCTCGCCTTAAGAGATCGAGAGATGTTGACGTGAGAGAAGAGATCCAGATATGGCCGGGAGGGAGAGGGAGAGGGAGAGGGACCGGGACAAGGATCAGCTGCTGCTCATCCCGGTGGCAGCCGACCGCGCCGCCGCCGCTGTTGCCGCCGGAGGCCACGAGGAGGAGACGTCGTCGCTGCTGCCGGTAGGGATCGTGGCGGCCGGCTCGCCGCCGCCGCTGCCGTCGTCGGCGCGCGGCCACCATATCCACCGCCACCGTACCGGCATCGAGGTGAGGTGATTCTTTCGTTCAAATTCAATGTTAATGTTTTCCTCTTTCTTTCTCCTTTTCTTCCCAAACCCCCCTTCTTTTCTTTGTTTTACCATCTGTGTAAATTTTATTCCTCTTAATATAAAAGTGCGTAATCCTTTTGCGTATTACCCAAAAAGATGTATGATGCCGTTAACTTTTGTTGTACGTTTGATCATTCGTGTTATTAAAAGTTTAATATAAATATGAAAAAAAATGTAATGTGAGATTATATTTTATTTGATGATAAAACAAGTCACAACAAAATTAATTATATAATTATATTTTTTTAATAAGATGAATGATCAAACGTTATGTGAAAAGTTATCGACATCATATATTTTGAAATGGAGGGGACGTGTAGACTGTAGTAATTTGTTCTTCTAACTTTATACTCCCTCTGTACTCGTAAAGGAAGTTGTTTAGGATAATGTTTAAATCAAATCTTAGGAATATAAATCATGAATAACTCTTAAGTTGTTGAGTTTGAAAATGTAAAAATTAAATGAATAGATTTGTCTTGAAGAATACTTTCATAAAAGTATACATATATCACTTTTTAATAAATATTTTTATATAAACAAGAAGTCAAAGTTATATTTTGGAGACCGTATTGCTGTCCAAAACGACTTACTTTATGAGTACGAAGGGAGTATATGTAATCCCCTACTCCTTTCTCGGGTATTGACATTTGAACTATTGTTCTGGCAAAAAGGAATATTAGTTTGTTGAACCATTACATGGTGACATAATATAGAGAACATACAGGTATTTCAACTTGTGGAAAAGAAAAAAATAAAACGATATGTCGTAACTTAACGTAGTTGTAATAATGTGCTATATAACATTAACAATTCTAGCCTCGTGGCAGGCATTTTCAAGGGTGATACGCAGCTGGGCATGGAAGAAGTTCATGACTGGATGGTACTACTGCACAATACCAGCTCCTTTACTTTCCTTACTTCCTATCGCAATTGCAAGTATTGCCGTTAGGAATTGGGATTGCATATTTTGTACTTTTCGTCCGTTCTTTTTCATCAGTTTCATAGGCCTCACAGCTACTATACATACATATTAAGCAAATTCAGAGACTTTTTAGACTGAACTTGTGTGCTGAACAACTTGTTCTGTTCATGTATGATCTTGGCACATGTGCAGTGTCATCTTGCTCCCCATTGCCATCACATTCTACACCACCTGGTGGTTCATCCGCGTCGTCGACGGCTTCTTCTCCCCGATCTACATCCATCTCGGCATCAATGTCTTCGGTACGTAATTCATTACCATTATTACCACTGTCCAATAACCAACACACAAATTTCGCTCAAACTCATTCATCCACTGCACACATGTACAGCGAGCACTGCAACTCTAAAGGTCAGTTAATTTAATAGACTAAAAGATCGATCGAGCATTTAGTCTGATGATATTTCGTGTTGATTTTGGAATTTGATGATGATCGTTTGCATTCTCGAGCATAAGGTTTGGGGTTTGCGACGTCGATCACCTTCATCTTCCTCGCCGGCGTGTTCATGTCGTCGTGGCTGGGAGCATCTCTTCTCGGCCTCGGCGAGCTCTTCATCAAGAAGACGCCGCTGGTTCGGCACATCTACTCTTCTTCGAAGCAAATCAGCGCTGCAATCTCACCAGGTTTGTCAATTAATTCCAAACAAAACTATCTGCAAGAATTCAGTTCTAAAATGTGTTCAAATTTTCATGAGATTTCTAGATTGATTTCGTGCTCAATTCAGACCAGAGCTCACGGGCGTTCAAGGAGGTGGTGATCATACGTCACCCGAGGATAGGCGAGTACGCGCTGGGATTCATCACGTCGACGCTGACGCTGCGCGGCGTCGCCGACGGCCGCCGCGGCGGAGGCAGTGGCGCCGGCGGCGGCCGGGAGCTCGCCTGCGTGTACGTGCCGACGAACAACCTCTACCTCGGCGACATCTTCCTCATGAGCCGCGCCGACGTCATCGTCCCCGACCTCTCCGTCCGCGAGGCCATCGGTAAACTGAAAATTGAGCCCTTCTTATTCCTGAATTTGTAGAACAGTTTGGTTCTTGATTTGGTTTTGGTTTTTGGGGAATTTTGCTGAACAGTTTGGTTCTTGATTTGGTTTTGGTTTTTGGGGCAATTTTGCTGCAGAGATCGTCCTCTCCGGCGGGATGTCGGTGCCGCAGATCATCTCGGCGGTGGAGGGGGTCGTCGGGCTCGGCGGCCATGGCCGGCCGGTGAAGTCTCCTTAGGCTATGGAGTATGGAGAATGGTGTCAAGTTGTCAACTTCACACTCGGTATAATTTTGAGCTTCTGTATGATTAGATGATTAGTTATAGAGAGGAGGTTTCCAGCATTGGTAGGATGGAATTATGCAAGCATAAAATTTGATCCACTGTGAGACAGCATTAAGCTTGTATACAGAATTTGTGATATTTCCTTTTGCATCGGCAAATTATTGGTTTGCAATTTGTTTTTTGGTACAGTTTGTAGTTGAAGCAATATACAAGCCTCATTACAGCAAGGTGCATGGGCACAACTTATTCCATTATTATCAGCATCCATGTTTGGCTGTTTGTCTATTCACAGACTTCTAAATTGATACAGACAACATACCAACGAATTTCCGATGATGACTTTCCTTTGCTCACCATTGAAATATTGCAATGCAAACAATTGACTCAATGAATACATGAATGAATTATAATGAGCCAGGCTGCTGCCAGATATCAGGCTTGCTCAATGCCACTGGACCAGGTCATGTTCTTGACAGGCTCAAGAATTGCTTCAACTTCGTGCAGAAGTTCTTTATCAATACCGGAAGTAGACAATTCAATTGCAGCAGCCACATTCTCCTCTACCTATAATCAGGGAACAGAGGTCATTATATGTTCTGTTACTTGGACTGAAAAAAATCAGTAAAGACTGACTCAAGTTGTAGTTAGGTGGACAGATGGAAGAAAGCAGTTTTATCTGAGCTAACATTCTGGTTCATATCATTTAGTCTCAAAACCATTTGTTAACAAGTTAAATAAACATTCTATTTCTTTTCATATATAGACAGCCAGACAAAAATAGTCACTAGTACCACCATCCAAAAAATACCTCCATGATTAGATTATCCTAAGAACAACATTATTTTCAATTACAAGCAGAGATTAGATCTTTTTGCCTTATGATGTGACTAGATTTAACCAAATATCCTTCATTAAGAGTTGACAGGTGATTCTATCTAATAAGATTAAGGCTGGTTACAACATGTACAGGTAAAGATAATCATGGACCTGCTCATTTCTGGCATGTTACTACCAGTTCTGGAGAACGAGGACTTTCGTGGAAATGGTATTCAATATGTTGTGTAGGAGGTACAAGGTAGAAAACCAATAGTGAACTGAATACCTGTTCTGGAGAGTTCATTCCAACAAGAACCGTGGAAATCTCATTGTTCATCAAGCTGTACTGCATAGCTAGCTTTGTAATGTTTTTCCCCTTCTTCTTACAGTGATCTGCTGCTGCCCTGCATGCCAACTGATAATAGGATGTATTACAGTTGATTTTTTTTATATTGATTGGGAAATCTAACCTAAGCCTTTAAAACCATGAGCAAGTCAATTTGACAATTTCTAGATTAATTTAAGGATCAAGCACATTATAGTTATGAGTATGTTTTTGTACACAATCTACCATACTTATTTGCCTCGTTTTCCCCTCAAAACTCCTAACCACTCCCCAACACTATTCCTGCATAATAATTGTATAATTCGCAAATAAATTTGAATCCCCTTGTGGCATTCTATATGTGGTTATTCTTCCAATACAGATAATTTGCTAAGAATTAGCTTTCCACACAGTAACCAGGCGCAAACAAATACAATTCACATCACAGCAATACCTTTAGTTCTTTCGGTGCAGGGTGCCATTCGGGTGGCCCGTTATCTGTAAGAAGCCCCATTGCAAGAGGTGAAGCACTGATCACGCCAACACCTTTGCTCTTCAGGTAGGGAAGCAAATCCACAAGCGCGGTATCATTGATCCCATAGTGGCAGTAAGACAGAATCACATCCACAGAACCTGGCGGCACCTGGTCGAGCACATAAGTGTAGATGCTCAATGGCAGCCCGGTTATCCCGATGAACCGCGCCTTCCCGCTCTCCTTGATCTTCTGGAGCACCGGAATCGTCTCATTCACAATCTGAGGGCACATCCAGCAATAAAAGGGTTACAGAAGCTTGGGCTAAAGCTGTAGGGCGCAATTGGGAGTTGGGAGCAATTCGTCGAACAGGTGGTGGGCGCGCGGGGGACCTGGTCGAGGTCGGTGAACTCGATGTCGTGGCAGTGGAGGATGTCGACGTAGTCGAGGCCGAGGCGTGCGAGGCTCTCGTCGACGCTGCGGGTGACGCGGGCGGCGCTGAAGTCGAACCCTTCCCTGTAGCGCCCGCACTTGGTGGCGACCACGAACCGGTCCCGCGGCACGCCCGCGGCGCGGAGGCAGTCCCCGAGCACCGACTCCGACACCGTGCCGCCGTAGTACCTGCGATTTGCGACAAGGGGGGGCGCGGCGGTCGCACTCTCAGATCCGCCGAGAGCCGGGGGGGAGGAGGAGGTGGTGGTACGTACGGGGAGGTGTCGAAGAAGTTGATGCCGAGGTCGAGGGCGCGGCGGACGGCGGCGCGGGCGACGTCGCGGGGGACGTCGCCGAAGACATGGCCGAGAGGGGAGGCGCCGAAGCCGACGGGGCTGACGCGGAGGCCCGTGGCGCCGAGCTCGCGGAGCTCCATGTCGCTCGCCGCTGCGCACCGGGAGATTGGGTAGGTGTGGGTGAGACGTGAGAGGTAGCAGTTAGGACTGTAAGCGTGTCAACCGCGAACCCACTTATTTTAGTCTATAAGTGGGTTTCACGGGTTAGCCACTTACACCCCTAGTAGTAGTCGTTAGTGCGGCGGGGGACGAGAGTGTGTGCGCGCCTGCGCGTGAAAATTGGTTTAGAGCATCCCAGCAGCTCCTCTATCTGGTCCTCCATCATGTTTTTGGCGCATAGAGGTAAAAACAAAGCTCCAGCAGATCTTCCATCACACACGCTATTTTTGGAGGACCTCCAAACCAAGCCCTTCCTAAGCCAAATATAGATGTTCTCTTTCCTCATGCTATCCTCCAACTACCCACCTCCCAATCGAACTCGTGCCACCGCCTTAACCGTATACTGGCAGATAGTAGCTGTAGAGATGAGGTGCATACCGGATCTGAAGGTGGAGATCACTGGAGTAGAGCGCGGAGAGGCAGCGGATCTGGCAGCGAGGAAGGTGCTGAAGGTGGAGATCCCCACCATTCCAGCTGCTCGGAGCTCCTCCGACGACCGCGTTGCCCCTCCGATCGCGCCGCTGCTCCACCCGGCGACCACCGCGCCGCTCCCCACCCGCGCCGCCGCCGCCTGTGCTGGGCTCCTCCGCCCGCGTCATGACCCCGCCGCCCGTGCCGCGGCTCCTCTCCCTGGCGACCGCCATGCAGCTCCCGGCCCACGATGCTGCCGCCCGCGCCGCGGCTATACGCCTGGTGACCTTGCCGCTCCCCGCCCGATGACCGCCCGTCGCCCCTCGTCGTCCTCTCCGTTGGTAGAACAGAAGAGAGGATGGGGAATATAAATGTAAATGTAAAAATGTAAATATGTGGTAGTTGAAAGATATAGTAAAATATATATGAAGGATGTAGTATGGCTAATCTGTTGGAGTAAAAAAAAATATGGAGCGAAAATCTTTTTAGACGACCATCTAAATGTGGCGCCGAGGTCTCAGAGCTCCATCTTGCTCGCCGCCGCGCACCGGGAGATTGGGTGGGTGAGACGTGAGAGGTAACATTTGTTAGAGGCGAGTGTGTCTGCGCCTGCGCGCTTGCGCTTGCGCGTGCGGTTGGTCTTGGCCGGTTGTCCTTGTGAAAATTGGTTTAGACCTGTTTGGCACATCTCACGAAAAAAAAAGAAAAAGAAAAAGAAAGGAGATTGATGAAGTGCCTTTACCAGAACTAGATACGAAATGAAATAAAGAGCTGAGATGGTTTAAACAGCTTCACAACTTTATTATTATTTTATATTTAACTCCTATAGTTAAATTTAGAAGTTTAAGATCTACCAAACGGACCCTTAATGATAAAGCCGATTACTATCACAGACCATATTTGATTAATGATTTTTTATATATTTATCGTTCATTTATTTTAAAAAATATTTAAATATAAATACAGTACGACACAATATAAATATTTTAAAAATTTATAGTGCTGATAGTGAAGCTAACGTAGATACGCAATCTAACATAGAAACGTAGATGGACACGTTGAGAGCGACGCACTCCTCCTGCTAAACGGAAAAATAAAACGATGCACGCGATTCCTCCGCAACGGAAAAAAAGAAAAGAAAAGAGAAACGACCCCTCCACACCATCGTGACAATTGACACTCTCTTCGTTATATTTTTCCTGTGCAGGTCATGAGACATTGCACAACTCGGTTGATGAAGCCCTCTTGCTAAAGGTACTGCATAATCAAATCAAGATGCACCTTGTTTTTTTTTCGTAAGAACTTCAATTGTTCCTAAAAAACCATGAAGTTACAAGCTTACGACTTTGGTTTTTTTTATCAATGAAAATCATTCTATGAATATGTCAATTTATATTTCATTGCCAATAATTATTTCACTTTTCCTTTGAGCTGAGGTATTGTTCAACTTTGGAGCTCTAGAAAATGAAACCATGGCTTCATATCCATGAAAAAACTCTATCGGTTGAATCCGTAAAAATGTGTTTTCTCTGGCATTCTATGGCCAGTTCTTTTATTTCTTTTTATTTGGACGTAATTTGCTTGAATGATTTGATGTGGCTAAAGGAGAAAATTTCTAAGGCCCTGTTTGGTTTCTGAGGCCAGGAGTTGGAGCCATGCAAACATGCCTCATGCTAATGTCTTCCGGAGCTTTCAGATTAGGCCCTGCTGCATTGAACTAATTAATTAGGTCAGTTGAGCCTCTAAATTTGCTCGCAATCCAGAAGGTTTCCACCAATTATAGTGGTAAAGCATCATACTCTTATGGTCACTGTTTCTTTGTTCCGAGCTTACTGCCATAGTGCCATCGATGTTTTTAACCCTTCTCATCATCATCGTGTTGTGGATATATTGTTTATTTGTAGCCCAAAAATGTAGTGTGGCTATTGCAACCATGGACTCCAGGATTACATTGGTTTCAGGATGATAGTGCTTGAGGAATACCATATACTAGAAGTAGATATTTTCTCCGTTTACCGTGTATTTGGTAGTTGAGTAAATTCAATCTTTTGTCCCATGGTTAGTTAAATTCATTTTTCATCATAGATGTGGCAAAAATCGACAGATGTTTGATACATGTCTTTAATGGACTGTATTTGATCATTTTAATTTAGTCTCTATCCTTTGATTTAAAAATATAGCATTCATCTGTAATCTCTGGAGATAATTTTCATTTTGTAATATATAATAGTTTGTTCTCTGCATATAGATCATGATTTTTTTTATGATGTCCAGAAGATTGTTACATGTGAATAGAAAAAAAAAAGGAAATGTCGTGTTGTTTGGAGTGAATTGGTGATGGTTTATGACAATGCAAATGTATTTGTATGAGAGATATGTGATAGGGAGATATGCAGCTCGTCCATGACAAATGCCATATATGAGTATGTTTGATGTTCTAGATTTTTTGTTTGTGTTTTAATTAGTATGGCATCATTAAATTTCCATAACAGTCTTCTATCTAGTCTTATTATGATGTCATTAACACCATGAGATTGTTTTATACGTCAGAAAGCTTGCACTCTGGTTGTGTAGTTGGTAATAGGTTTCTTGTATTGGAATTAATCTGAATTAATCTATAGAACAATTGTGATTTGTAGTCTTTTTGATTTGCCAGATTTTTTTTCCATGTTTAACAAATTTTCATTCAATGATTACTTAACATCTTTTCACTTGATATAATTTGAAATTGATATATATCATTTCCCGTTGCAGCGTACAGGCACCCAACTAGTTAGAGTATATTTAATTACTTACAGTACCTATATAGAGAAATTTCATAATCCTTGAAAAAGTACTTCGAGGTACGTTGAGAAACTTACTTAGTACATTGAGGTACTCAAGGATAGTAAAACTAGTTGATACCCCGCGCTTTGCCGCGGGATATGTGAATGAATGCATGCTATATATTACAAAAATGATATATGTACATGTTTAAATAATGTGGATATAATGATTTGACATTGATTGCATATTGATTTCTAAAAATAGAAAAAAGTTGTAAAAGATATATAGCACACTTACATATTCAGCTTTAGATAATAATGATTAGTGGGTTATGATGTAGCACACTTACATATTCAGCTTTAAAAGTTCGTGGACATCAACTTTATAGTAAGATAGGATTACCTAACTATACAGTATAATTTGTATGTATGTATTGACAGTCCTTAAGTACCAAATTCAACCGTCAAATTTTGCGTAAAAGCAAATGAAAGAATATAAAATAGAATATCAAACTTAGAGTTACTGAGGTAGTAGTTATTACTTCCTCCGTTTCACAATGTAAATCATTCTAGCATTTCCCACATTCATATTGATGTTAATGAATCTAGACATATATATCTATCTAGATTTAACATTAATATGAATGTGGAAAATGCTAGAATGACTTACATTGTGAAACGGAGGGAGTACTAATTATTTTCATTAGTCTTAGTGAATATTTGTATGTATGTGAAATATGGACGAAGACCACCTATCATGTAACAAAATATTCCTCCAGACAATTGAACGAGATTTCACAGATTTGTGGTCACCCATGTCAATCAAAATCACCTACAATTGAGCCGATCCAAAGTACTACATGTTGGGGGGCCCACTAGGCAGGCTCCTAGCTGAAGGAGTGGTCGGGAGGTTATCCAAAAGTTCAGCCGAATAGCCTTTGCGTACTCTCACCATCTACCGGCACGTGGAGCAAGATCCTGAAGTGCTAATAGCAGTTATGCGTGGTTTATGGGCTTAACTGACCTCCAAACCATCAATACAATGTTATATAAGGAGGAAAAGCTCTCACTCTCAATTGACACAGCAAAGTGGAGTACAACTCACTTTCATACTTACATATTGCTCTAGTAGAATAGGAAGAGAGTGAGGGGAAGCTTCAAAAGGAGTGTCGGAAATGTCGGAGTTCATGTCGGCAGTCTTCTAGGGGAGTTCCGGAGGAGTGCGGACAACACTCTCTCTGATCTTGTACCTCGACAGATGCTTCTTTTATTTAAGTAAGTATTCGTGACTTTCTTTGATATTTACTTTTCGTATTTAAGTAATATACTAGCAAAAGTGCCCGTGCGTTGCACCGGGTGATTACGGAGTGTGTATATTGATCAAAAGTATTGTTTGGTTTAGCAAAAGTGCCCGTGTGTTGCAATGGGAAGTGTACAGATCAAAAAAATAAGCATTTAATTAAAATACAAATTCGCTGAAATATTTGGTATTTTAAAGTAGGTATGCATATAATTAAATAAATTTACAAGTAAAGCAAGTGTGAGAAATAAAATGATATGGTTAAATTTATTTTTTTAAAAATTCTCCATGATTAGTTACGCTCTTTGAAATTATATTGGAATTTTTAGAGCTTAATTGCTAATTTTATTAATATAGACATCATTTAACAACTATTTAATTGGAAAAAGAAAGAAAATACTTCCATTTAGGTTTGCTTCCAAATAAACACATTCAATTACTTATATATGTAAATCTTCTGAAAAAATGAGCACTAAAAATGAACTTATTCTCTTTTTTTCGCCCGAGGGACCAAAAATAGAC